TGGTCATTGGGAAAATGCTAGAAACCATTAAGTAGTTTTTGGAAGATCTTTAGAAATTCACTATAAAATCATTAATTAGAAGTAACGACAGCTTTGAAAAAGATACATTGTACTTGGGAAATTTCTCAAAGTTCATTTAGATGTAACAAACAGGATGAATCATAGAATCATAGAAACCCTACAATGTGGAAACAGGCCCTTCAGCCCAACAAGTCCACACTGGCCCTCAGAGACCATCCAGATCCATCCCTGTATAACCCACCTGATCTACACATCCCTGAACACTATGGGCAATTTAGCACGGCCAATCCACCTAGCCTGCACATCTTTGGATGGTGGGAGGAAACCGGAGCACCCAGAGGAAACCCATGCAGACACGGGGAGAATGTGCAAACTCCACACAGACAGTCGCCCGAGGGTGGAATCGAACCCAGGTCCCTGGCGCTGTGAGGCAGCAATGCTAACCACTGAGCCACTGTACATAAAAGGCATTTCCAAAAGGCATTCAGTAAGATGCCACATGCAAGTTTACTTTAGGACATAAGAACTCATGGTGTTTTTTATTAAACCAATCTGTTTGGACATTTTATGCCACTCTTCCATGGCAGGTGGAGCATGAACCTGGACCTATTGGCCCAAAAGCAGGGACACGACAAGACCCTGATTATGGTGTTGTATATCAGTTTGGATTGGCTAACTAACAGAAAACAAAGAGGATATATAGGCAAGTTTCAGATTAGTAAGCTGCAACTCGAAGTGTCACAGGAATTTGTGCTGGAGCCTCAATATTAATACTTATTAGACGTAAGGGCTATCTGTATTATAGTACATTTAATCTATAAATGTACACCGATATGTTAAGCAAGTAGGTAAAATGCAGAAGGGGTATAATGTCAGAAAGTTGCACATTTTAGCAGGGAGAATACAAAAACAGAAGAGTATTTAAAAGGAGCCGACAGAATGCTGCAGAACAAAGGGACTTGGATATCCATGCTCATGAATCACAAAATGTTAGTGCGCAGGTACAGCAATTAATTGGGCAGTCAGATGGAATATTGTTTTTTATTTCAAGGGCAATGGAGTATAAAAATAGGGTAGTTTTGTTAAAACTGTCCAGGGCATGGGGGAGGTTGCAGTTAGAATACTTGGTAAAATTTGCTCTCTTTTCTTAGGAAGGGTTATACAGCATACTTTGTTTTAACCAGAACCTTATGAATTGGCACTCTAGATAAACTGGCAAAAATTATATACCTCAAATAGAGCAAAGGTTACTGTATTATTCTGTCCAATTATTATAATTTTTAAAATTTATTTAACTTGATGTAAACTTACTTGTTGTCTAATTAAATGGCCACACAAAATACCAACTTTTGATTCAATTTTGAGTTAATCTTTCCTCAAATAATGTGATTTACTGCAATGTCTAAGTAGTCGGTTGAGTGCAAGTTTTATTTAAGGCAAAGTTGCATTTTTATTTAAGTGATTTATGATGTAAATGCAGTATAACAGTGATGTGTATACCCCCTGCACTACATTTTTATAACTTAGTATGAGTTTTTACTTTGATAGTGTGGAACTCTTGATTATCTGGAGTCATTGATCAATCAGCACACTCCTTGTCCCCAAGGTGCTGGATAATAAAATGTTTACTGTACTGGCATTAGAAGTAGTTCAGAGAAACTTTATTAAACTGATTCCTGTGGTGAAAGAGTTGCCTTATGAAGAAAGTTTGGACCTATTTTAATTGGAGTTTAGTTCAATGAGAAGTGGACTTATTGCGATAGGTAGGATTCTGATGAGGTTTAACAGATAGATGCTGAGAGGATGTTACCTCATCCGGGGGCATCTAGAACAAGGGGACATTGTTTCAAAATAAGAGGTCTTCATATTAAGAAAGAGAGAGAGAGAGATGAAGAGGAATTTCTTCCTTCACAGAAATTACCTTCTACAGAGAGCAGTGGAGGCTGTTAATGAATTTATTCAAAGCCAAGTTAAGTTTTTTTAATTAACAATAGTTAAAGGTAATGATGGCAGGTAGGAAGGTGGTGTTAAGGTCAGAATAGGATTAGGTACAATCTTATGAAATGGTTGGGCAGCCTTCAGTGGCTGAATTGTCTACTCCTGCTACTATTTCTAATTATACGCAAACAGAGCAAGCAAAGGAATAGATTAATATAATCTAATGAGAAATATAAATTGTAAAAGGAATGCCAATTTCACATTTCAAGCATACTAGGATTATTAAAAATTGGGTAATTACCTGTAAACCTCATCAGGGAATTAAACTTAATATCCTCATTCACAAACAGGTGTTCTTGCAGTTTAGAGGTCCATTTGAAATTGAAAAATAACCATAATCCATAAATCAATTGACAGAAAAATACTCTAATTATTAGTTATGTATCACATGTCTAAAATGTCCAAAGGATAGTGATGATCTTAATAAATGCTTTTTTTTCTGGAAAAAACTACATGGACCTGTCTGCAAGAAATAACACAGCTTAGGGAGAAGCATCTCTTGATACTGGTTATACAAAATGAACCATTAAATAAGAGGATATAATGACAAAGAGCAGCACTGAAACCCAAACTACATGAAAACTCTAATAAAAATAATGCTATTTTTAATATACACCCACCTACACTGAAGAAAAATAGTTGAGTTTCAGAATTAGCAAAGGCTACATGCAGATCAGTGAGAGGCCAGAACAGTGTGCCAATATCTTAACGATCACAGTGAGCCAGAAAATCTTCTTAAAAATAGAAACGTTCTTGTATATGGTGTAATCATACTCTCAGATATTGGAGTTATTTTTGTTAACTATCAGTTATGTTTGACAATGCCTGTGACAAAATTATATGCTCAACTCAATCTAATTGAAAAGACAGTGCACAATGAACAGCGCAAGTATCTAGAATATTAAATCTTTTCACAATATGACGAAGGACCTGGAACAGACCCCAAATCATTGACACTGGAACAGATACACAACCTGCAACCACCATGGTTACGAGGAATGGACCAATTCTGCCACTCAACGGCTCCCCACAACCTCTCCTCACAACCGCAGCCGCAGAAAGAAGAAAAAATTAACTTTATTCAAAAGTTAGATGAAAAAGTAAATAAAAGGAAAAGAAAGACGGACTTGGTCAGTCATGCAAGAGGGAGCAGATGGGCCAAAAGCCTAAGTACCTCCTACCCTACCGCCTCTGAATTGGGGTCCATGGTTTTCCTCTGATGTTTTGGCAGCATCTGCAATGGTGGCAGAGTGAATGATCTCTCGGTCCTTGGGAGTTCATTTAGATGGTCAATTAGCTCTCAGAAGTTGAGTTGGGTCCCAGTGCTTGAAAGTTGGGACAGACTCTTGCCTATGGCGGCAGCTGGAGTATCGGTGGCAATGACGTGGCTTTGGCAGAGGCGACATTCTGGGTTTGGTCAGTGATGTGGGGGGCTGCTTCAGCGTGCTTCGTCCTTGGTGTTGCATCCTCAGGGCATGGTTTGGCAGCTGCAGAGTGTGGTGGCATCCCACGGCCACTTAAGAAATCAAGAGGCCATGTATGGAACAAAAAACGTAATCTGTCCTAACTTTATATGATTTATTTCTTTTTATAATTTATGTAATTAATATGGCACTGGTTATGGCAACTTACATATATTTTATTGTATTTTCATAAATACATGTAACAATAAACTACTATTACAAATGAAAAAAAAAGCTTATGTAAAAGATCATAAAGAACAAAAGAGAAGTACAACACAGGAGCAGGCCCTTCGGCCCCCCAAGCCTGACCTGATCATCATGCCCGGACTAATAAATAAAACAAAGCTTCTGCCTTTATTCGGTCTGTATCCCTCTATTCCCTCCCGATTCATGTAACCATCCAGATGCCTCTTAAATGTTGAATTATACCAACGTTCCCGCTTCCCTCTTCTAGCAGTGCATTCCAGGCTCATACCACTCTCTGCGTGAAAAACTTCCCCCTCTCACCTTGAATCTGTGAAACTTCAACCCTGGGAAAAAGCCTCTGACTATCCACTCTATCTATGTCTCTCATAATTTTGCAGACCTCTATCAGATCTCATCTCAGCTGCTGTCTTTCCAGTGAAAACAATCCTAGTCTTTTTAGCCATTCCTAATAACCAAGGCCATCGAGACCAGGCAACATCCTGCTGAACCTTCTCTGTACTCTCTCCAAAGTTTTCACGTCATTCTGGTAGTGTGGCGACCAAAACTGCACAAAATACTCCAAATACGGCCTAACAAGAGTTTTATATAGCTGTAAAATGGTTTGCCACCTCTTGTGCTCCATGCCCCAGCTGACAAAGGCAAGCATGTCATATGTCTTTTTAATCACCTTGGCCACCTGTACTGCCACTTTTAGGGAACTGTGGACCTGCACACCCAGATCTGTCTGAATGTTGATGTTTCTAAGGGTTCTGTCAATTATGGTATAATTCACGCCTAAATTTGATCCTACTAAATGCATCACCTTGCATTTGTCTGGATTAAACTCCATCAGCCATTTCTGTGCCCAAGTCGCCAATCCATCTATATCCTGTTGTATCCTTTCACAATCGTTGGGACTATCAGCAACTCCACCAATCATCATGACAGCTGCAAACTTGCTAATCAGACCACTCACATTTACCTCCAGATCATTTATACATAGTATAAACAACAGAGGACCTAAAACTCATCCCTGTGGAACACCACTAGTTACCAGTCTCCATTCTGAAAAACATCTTTCCACTGCTACCCTCTGTCTTCTATGACCAAGCCAGTTTTGTATCCACCTAGCCAGCCCACCCAAATCCCATGTGATTTTAGTTTTTGTACCAATCTACCATGTAGAACTTTATCAAATGCCTTACTAAAGTCCATATAAACTACACCCAAAGCCCTTCCCTCATCAATTATCTTTGTCATCTCTTCAAACAATTCAATCAAGTTGATGAAACATTACCTTCCCTGTACAAAACCATGCTGCTTGTCACTTACTAGACCATCTTCTTCCAAATGTGCATAATTTGTCCCTCAGTATCTTCTCCAAAAGCTTCGCCACCACAGTCGTCAGGCTCACCGGGCCTATAATTTCCTGGATTATGCCTGCTTCCTTTCTTAAACAAAGGAACAACATTGGTTAATCTCCAGTCCTCTGGAACTTTGTCTGTGGTCAAAGAGCATATGAAGATATCTGCTAATGCCCCAGCTATTTCTTCCTTTGCCTCTCGCAGTAATCTGGGATAGATCCCATCTAGTCCTGAGGGCTTGTCTACATTAATGCAATTATGGGTACCCAAAACTTCCTCCTTCAATAATATTGACATTCTCTAGAGCATTCACACACTCATCCCTGACCACAACATCAGTCATGTCCTGCTCCTTGGGGAATACTGATACAAAGTACTCATTAAGGATCTCCCCCACTTCCTGTGACTCCATGCATAACTTCCCTCCTTTGTCCTTGAGTGGGCCTACTCTTTCCCTTGCTGCCTTCTTGCTTCTATTATATACATGAAAGCCTTGGGATTCTCCTTGACCCTGTTTGCTAAAGACATTTCATGGCCCCTTTTAGCCTTCCTAATTCCGTGGTTAAGTTCCTTCCTACTTTCTCTATACTTCTCAAAGGCTTTGTCAGTTTGTAGCTGTCTAGACCTGTCGTATGCTTCCTTTTTCTTTTTGACTAAGCTTACAATTTCTCTTGTCATCCATGGTTCCTGAATCCTGCCATTCCTATCCTTCAGTTTTGCAGGGGCATGCATATCCTGCACTTTAATTAACTGGTCTTTAAAAGCCTCGCACATGCCAGATGTAGATTTGCCCTCATAACTGCTGGCAATCCACATTCACCAGTTCCTGTCTAATTTGGATGTAACTGACCCTTGTCTAACTTGGCACCCTCACCCAGGGGCCACACTTGTCCTTGTCCATGACTACTCAAAATCTTGTGGAGTTTTGGTCACTAAGCCCAAAATGCTCTCCTACTAAAAAAAAAATCACCTGTCCTGGCTCATTCCCCAGTACCAAGTCTAGTATGGCCTCCTCTCTGGTTGGATTGTCAACATACGGTCTCAAAAAGCCCTCCTGGACACGTCTATCCATCCGAGCCCCTGCTTTAAGGGAGTCCCAGTCAATAAGAGGAAAGTTGAAGTCACCCACCACAACTGCCCTGTTTTTTTCACACCTTTCCAATATCTGAAAACATATCTGCTCCAATGTCTCCCATGGGCTGTTGGGAGGTCTACAGAAAACTCCCAACATTACGATTTCACCATTTCTATTCCTGAGCTCCACCCATAATGCCTCACTGCAAGATCCCTCTGATGTGTCCTCCCTTAACACAGCTGTGATGTGATCCCTAATCAGCAATGCAACTCCCCCACGCCTTTTGTTTCCCTTTCAGTCCCGTCTAAAACAGCGATATCCTGGAATGCTAAGCTCCCTGTCCCTCCTTTAAGCATGTCTCCGTAATGGCAATAACATCGTAATTCCATGCAGTAATCCATTCTCTTAGTTCATCAGTCTTCCCAGATGTACTTCTTGACATTGAAGTAACTGCACTCCAGACCTCCAGTCCCTCTGCCTTTCTCAGTCTCTCTTTTGTCCCCAGTCCCTGCATTTCCTGGCCCGTTGTTCTGGTTCCCATCCCCCTAACACACTAGTTTAAACCCTCCCGAAGAGCTCTAGTAAACCTCCCGCCCAGGATATTGGTGCCCTTCCAGTTCAGGTGCAACTCGTCCTTCTTGTACAGTTTCCACCTTTCCCAGAACACGTCCCAATGATACATATATCTAAAGCCCTCCCTCCTACACCAGCACTGTAGCCACGAGTTCAAGCGCATTCTCTCTCTGTTCCTAGCCTCACTAGCCCATGGCATAAAAAGCAGGACTACCAGGCCCTAAATGTCAGCTTTCCAGCTCCTCTGATGCTGCTTGGCCTGCTGTATTCATCCAGCTCTACACCTTGTTGTCTCCGGACTACCAGGGTAGTAATCTCAGGATTACTGCCCTGGTAGTCCTGCTTTTTAGTTCCCCACCTAACTCCCTGAATTGTCTTTGCAGGACCTCTTCTTTCTTCCTACCTATGTCATTTTTGCCAAGGTGGACAATGCCTTCTGCCTTTTTCCCTCCTGTTTCAGGATGTCCTATACCCACTCAGAGACATCCAGGACCTTGGCACCAGGGAGGCAGCACACCACCCTAGAGTCTCGTTCACAACCACAGAAATACCTGTTTGTGCCCCTGATTATTGAGTGACCTACTACTATCGCTCGCCTGGACTTTGCCCCACTCTGCTCTACAACAGAACCAGTTGTGGTGCCACAGACCTGACTGCTGCTAGTACAATCTCCTGCAAGGCTATCCCCACAACAGTATCCAAAGTGGCTTCGCAGTGGGGTTAAAATTGTATCAGAGATAGTAGGAACTGCAGATGCTGGAGAATCTGAGACAACAAGGTGCAGAGCTGGATGAACACAGCAGGCCAAGCAGCATCGTAGGAGCAGGAAGGCTGACGCTTCAGGCCTAGACCCTTCATCAGAAATGGGGGAGGG